ATTAAAAGGAAGCCGGTAATTAAAGACCGGCAAAATATTCAGAGCCCCGGCCCCCTGGTCGGGTAAATACAAACAAACGGCACGCAGGCCGTGGGAAGAAGACATAAAGCTTAAGAAGGGGCAGATCTTCAATATTAGCAGCTGCCGCCTGGTCAGCACTCTTCTTGCTGGACTCGGCTTCAACTGCATCCTTCTTTGATGCATTACCCCCAAGCGGCACAAGCGCCACTACCGACTGCTCCTCCTCCTCCAACGCCTCTTCCTTAGCAGCCGCCAACGCCTCTTCCTCAGCAGCCGCCAGGATCTCCTGATTATATCTATCAGAACACTGGCGGTACGTTTTTTCCCATGAGGCAAAGTCGGCATTCGGGAAGAGGCGGCCCCAAGTCATGCGCTGGATTTGAGCAGAGTCTTCCATCTTCTCCCGGACCAGCTCTTTCTTTTCTTGCTCGGCCTTTTCCGAGAGCTCCTGAGTAAGACTCTTCTCCTGGGTCACCAGGCGTACCTTTACGCTCGCCAAGGATTTCTCCAAGGTTTCGTATGAGGACATCTTTTGGCGAAGAGGTCTCAGCTCGGCCTTGAGGTTGTTGATGGTCGCCTCCAGCTCGCTATTCCTCTTCTGGGCCGCATCTCACTGAGCCCGGATAGCGGCGGTAGCCTGCGCCTGATAATAAAGAATATCAATGGTCAGAACTTCATTTTGGGCAATTTGAAACATTGCCTTATCACAGTCAGAGGCGGCCATAGCTTTTGCAGCCTTTACCTCTTTGTTCTTCCGGTCAAGCGGCTTGCGAAGGCCGTTCACTCGAGGGCCTAAGTAAAAAGGGGAACAGGCGTCAGTTTCCAAACAAAAAGAAAACAGGCGTCCTGGAATTCAAATACTCAAAAATATGCTAAGTATACCTCAGCAAGGACCCCTGCAATCCCGTCTAGGTCAAGGGTGCCGACACCCCTGATCGCCTCCCTTTCAGCTGGAGGAACGACCTTGATCATAGACTTGGCCACCTCGACCAAGTCGGGCTCCTGAGGGCCGGCTGCATCAAGCATAAACAAACGGATTAGACCTAGTAAAGAAGGGAGCAAGTCTAACATTTACAAGGACAATTTCATACTTCTAGGTGGCCCAGCTGGAGTTTTAGAAGAAGTGGCCGGCTGTTTCTCAGCCGCCGCATGTTTCCTGGCAGAACCAGGAGAGCTCGCAACAGTCGTCCTCCGGGCCTTGGGGTCCGGCTGTTGGGAAGAAGTAGCTCTTGGAGCGCCCGTCTAAAAAAGAAGAAAAGAGTCAGTATATGCATAAACACAACTCCAAAAAGAGGGTGAAAGGTTCGAAGCCCACCAAGGGTGCCCCCTTGTTGGGGGAGTCGGTTGAAGACTGTTGCATGATGGAGGCCCGCAACATGGCCGCCGCAGTCTTGGAGGCGGTAATTTTGCTCATGGCGTCCGCTGCAAAAAACAAATAGCAAAGTTAATAAAAGTCATAACAAGAAATGCACGGAACAGCAGAGTATTCGACAGGCCGGCTACCTCTTGAGCACCGACTGCTGAGGCCACAAGCGGCCAAAAAGTACTCGTCGTAGAGCCATTTGAAGCTCGGGACGCAGTGCAGGGGTACTTGCTCTCGTACCCCTGAAGTAGAGTTCACCTTCGATTCTACTTTGAAGAGTCCTTTATCTAGGATCTCTTTCTTAGCCTTGGGGGGAACAGGCGGCATGCTGCGGCCGCCTGCAAGAAGGGGCGGATTCCTGTTCCACCTGTTGAAGCGCTTGTTCAGCTCTGTGTCTGAACTCTCAATGATGAGGAAGGTGCTCCGCCAGTCCTTCCATTTGTTTGCTTTACCTCTCATCATGAGGTAGCCCCTGTGGCTCGTCAATTGATACCAGCCGGAACCGCCTGCCTTAAGGGTCCGGCTGAGGTAGTTCATGTGGGCGAAAGCCTCGAAGCTCGGCTCCACCCCGTGCAGTTCGCACCCGGCCACATAGCCGAGTACGTTGACCCAGGAGTTCGGGGCTAACTGCCATAACCCCAACTCATACCCATCCAAGATCCGCTAAACAGCTGGATGTAGTGGGAAGCGCAGCCCAGCCTTGATGGCCGCCTCGTAGCAGCCAAAGCAGGCGCCATCATAACTGGTACCAGCCGGCCATACGACTGTGTCTTCTGGATCCGGCACGAACACTAAAAAGCCGGGGCCCATTATGTGGTTTGCGATAAAGCTCTCCACTTTCTCTTGCATGGCCGTGATCCGGCCCCGAGGTACCGTGCAGTAGTAGGGGGTATTTTGCTCTCGGTGAGAGGCGGATGGCTCCGCCCAATCGTCCCCCTTCTCAACTGCGTGAGAAAGCCTCGCCTCTTGTAGGCGACTGTTTTTCTCTTCTGTGTCCAGGGAAGCATGGCCAGAAGAGCTAGACTCGGAATCGTCCTCTGACGAGTCCGAAGAGGACGACTCTTCCCCTCTCCCGGAGGGGCCCGCCTCCTCTCCTTTAAAAGGAGCAGGAGAGAATGTAGAATTGTCAACTGTAAAATGGGAAGGGGTCACTTTGACTCCTCCCTCAGAACTGCCGGCTTTCAAGCCGCTTTGTTTCACTTCCACATCTAGCGCCTGGTCAGATGTTTCACTAATCGGCACCCTGTGGGAGGAGCCGTCTGAGTTTGAGATCCTGACAGTCTTTTTTGTTCTGGCCATCATGCTCTGCATAGACACAGATACAGTCGGACTTTGTATAAAAGGCAAAGATGGGTCCAGAAAAGGGCAGGCGGCACTCCTAGTCCTAGATTCAGCCGTCCCCGGTGACCGGCTGATCACTAACCTAGGTCATGTCGTGTGCTTCCGTGGTGCCATTTCAAAAAAAGAATAAAGTAAAGAGAAAATTAAGAGTAAGAGAACCGACGGTTACCTGAACGAGTGACGATTGATGAAGTTCTGAAAATCCTTTGCAGTCGGCTTGTCAGAGCAGGCGGTAGGCAGAAAGGGTCCAAAATGTCAGAGCAAGTTCAGGGGTCCGAATGTTCTCTCACAAAGTTTTCAAGTGTGAAAATGACCGAAGTCAACACTCCTTTATATAGGCGAAGTGAGAAGGCGAAGGGTCACTTCCAGAATTCAAAATTTTGGCGGGAGAATCTCTTGGCCTCTCGCCGAGTGACACCTGTAGCAGGCCGTCGCCTGTTACAAGGCGATACCTGTCACAGGTAACACGTGACCAGTCACGTGCCACCTGTGAGGGGCAAATGATTAGGGGATTTTTCCCTACCAATCACCATCTGACAAGTGGACCAATCAGGTTCCGCCATGTGTCCGTCACATGGGCCAATAGGAGCCTGCCACGTGTCAAGCAATGATCCGTCCACTATGGACCAATTACGACACGATACGTGTCCTTCCCATGACACCTGGGATAACCGGTCACCTAGGCCCAACTTCCGAGGGAAGCCCAATTTGCCCAAGGTTAACCTAAACCTAGATTGACACATTTCCCGAGGTTATAAATACCTCCCTTAATCCTCATTAAGGGGGATTACGCTAAAAACGCAGATTACACACATTAAACACTCTCACCTAGAGAGACCCAATCACTTTAATTTCCGCATTAATTACTCCTTAATCAAGTACTAACTTGACCGTCGGAGGCGGATCTCCAATCATCTGGAGCATCCGTTTGTTTTGCAAGTACAGGCGTCCGGTTCCAGTCTCGGAATTGTAACTCTCCCGCAGGACATCAGAAAACCGCGAAACATTTTCCTAGTTCGAATAGACTTAGGAATAGTTAGTTTTAGTCTATAAATAAGGGATTTTTCGTGGCTTTGTACACACAACCAGAAAATTAAAATTCAAGTTTATTGTTTAGCTTAATTGCTTACAATCTCTTTCACTAGTTTTCAATTCAAGGAGTTGTTTTGATGATTAGTTCGGGCAACACTTAGTTCTAGGAGTAGTCTAAGTTTTGTTCATCAAGGTACTTAGTTCCAGGAGTGGTCTAGGTAGTTTGAGAGGCGTTGAATTCGTTCCAGGAGTGGTCGTTTTCAAGGTCATATCCGGTTTGTTATCCTTAAGTTGTTCGATTTTCTAAGGAGATTCGAAGGGCTTATTTTACTTGTGTGATTTTAGATTCTTTATTAAGTTAAGGGGTTTCAATCCACATCATAATTTTCATAATATTTTCTTATGAAATTAAAGATATTTAGCAATAAAAAACTGCACATAAAACGATAAAGTGCGTTAAAACCTATTTTTTCTGACCTGAACTTATGCTTTCAAATTTGATCTGATCTGATCTGATTTTTTTTTCTAAAATAAGTAAAAATAAGTTAAACTAAACAACGCCTTACTCCCTTCGTTGCTAAAAAGTGGCTAGTATGAAAACTTATATTAATATTAACAATATATTTCATGATAATTTTTTTTTTTTAACACATTACGTTGTTAAAAACGATGATTATAGTAAGTTTAAAAAAAGTGAAAAAAAGTCAAACATATTAATTATATAAGAATGAAGGAGTAATAAATAAATAAATATATATATATATATATAAAATAAAAAATAAAAAAATTAGATTAGAAAGCTAAGGACTCATTGTCTGCATTTTTTGTTTTTTACAAACTAAAATAAAAAATCAGAAAATTATGTGGTCTAAACTTGTTTATTATCAATTTTAAAAATAATGATTCACAATTGAGCACAATATTCAAAAAGAACTATGGACATGCATAAACTATGTGATGGATCAAAAGGAGTATTACAGTCTTGAAAGAAGACTTACATTACTTTTTTCAATGTAAAATTTAATTTAACATAAATTTTTGTACACAATGCATTGAATTAGTAATTGATGGTGTAACGTGATACATAACTATATTTAAAATTACTCTCAAGATTACAAATGAGTCATTAATTTATAAGGTTAATTATTGGTGTTTATATAATGAAATTATTGATATTGCACCATCATTATATTTGAGCATATATATGACGAGATTGATGACATATCAATATATCATACACGAAATGCATTGTATAAAAGATACATGCATACATTATGAAAAAAAAATTAAAAAAAAAATAATAATTTCATTTTCAACTACTTTGTGATAATTAAAAAGTGACTTCTAGAACAATTTCTAATTTCTGAGATATGATAAAATATGTATTCGCAGGAGCATTTAATTGAACAATACAATTATTTTTGAGATAAAATAAATTATTTTTTTAAAAGGAGGGATATCATAAAAATATTAAACAACTTGTTACACGTAAATTGGTTTCTCTATATATGCCACTTTCCTTAAGTAGATACTGTTCCAAAATATCAGTGCTATTTTTCATATTTTTTTCTTCTTCTTTCTCTTTTTATCTTTATATCTTCCTTTCATTCTCACTCAGATTTCTGATAACACTCTCAGTCTAACAGACTAAACACTCTCTTCTCTTTACCTTCCCCATTACCTGCTTTTTTCTCTTCAATAATAACTCTTTTTCAACAGTATTTCTGCTTTTTCTTACCTTGTCTACCAGTCACCTGAGTTGACACCTCGAAGATGGACATTGACCTATTAAAGTCCACACCGGATGACCAAATTGACATGATGCTAAGGACAATGCACATGGACAAGCCCACCTCCGATATCACCTGCCCGCCGCCTTACCTCGACACGAATGCAATGATGTCATTTACCGGGGGTGGTAGTGGTAGCTTACCTCATCATATCACCTCATCACCACCTTTGCTAAATTCTCCACAAACAACCTTATCTTTCTCCAACAATAACAATAACAACAACAATAATAATAATTTGTCGTCTTCATTATTGCTACCAAATTCATTCCCTGCATACAGCAATAACAGCAGTGAAAATGTAACATCCTTTCCATCTTCAGCAACATCATCGCCCTCATCACATAAGCAAACATCTATGGCAGCGATGCGAGAGATGATATTCCGAATAGCAGCGATGCAGCCGATCTACATCGACCCAGAATCAGTAAAGCTGCCTAAGAGAAGAAATGTAAGAATCTCAAAGGATCCGCAGAGTGTTGCTGCTCGGCATAGGAGGGAGAGAATCAGCGAGCGAGTTAGGATCCTGCAGAGACTCGTACCTGGAGGTACGAAGATGGACACTGCATCAATGTTGGACGAAGCTATTCATTACGTCAAGTTCTTGAAGAATCAGGTGCAGTCCCTTGAGCGAGCAGCTGTCAATAACCACCGTCCCATTCCGGCCTCTACCGGGCTCGGATTTCCCGTGGCTGTGGCTAGCGGCGGTAATGGTTATCATCAAGTTCATATGAATGTTGCAACTCATAATGTCCAGCATTATTTAGATGCATGATGAATTTTAGCAAATTCAATTTTTTAAGAGTTACACATGAGGTTCTTTTTTTTTTTTTACTTGTTTTGTTTTGTTTGTTGTTGTGTTCCAAGTTTTTCTTTTAATGTTTAGTTTTAAGGTCATGCATTATTGATGTAATTTGTTTAGGGAGTAAAAGTTGTAAAGAGAAAGAAATATATGCTTAATTATATGGGGGGGGGGGGGGGGAGGCTGTAAAGTGAGCAAATTGTAAAGGAACTGTTCCATTGAAATTGGTGTACTCCCTTTCATATTCTTATGGATGAAATATCTAGTTTTTTCTATGCTCCTCTTTTTTTTTTTTTATTATTATTATTATTATTATTATTATTTTTCTTAGCATGATAGCATCAATGTTGATAGCTATGCAAGAGCTGCAGTACCTGATGTAGATAGAGGTGAAAGTAATTCTATTTAAAATAAAACTGAATTAGTATTTGGTTTTTTTTTTTTTTTTTTTTTTTTTTTTTTTTTTTTTTTTTATAATTTGGATTAGTCCAATTTGGAAAAATAAAAAAAAATATGGTTTACAATTTGGTCTCGATTTGGGATTAATATATGACTTGTTTAGGGTAAAGAATATCCCTTCACGTGGTCCAATCCTATAGTGACACGTTACCCAATAAAAGGGCGAAACATGTCCTAATAGGAAGACGACACGTGGCAGAACAAGGGAGCACCTGAAAAAGAGAAGGCCTCCTTACATCAGGAGGCCCAAATCTTGAAAAAGCGTCATAACGGCGCTCCCAAAGGACACATATCCTACTCTGATTGCGCCGCCAATCAGATCACTCCTTTTTAGGGCACCAACCTTAGAGTGCACACATTCCAACCCCTATAAATACCGCAATCATTTATGATGGGAGGGGTGGATTAAGACATATCATTCACGGCATATTAATTTGCTCTAACTTCTCTCTACTCTCTCTCTAAAATACTACCGTTTTTTTTATCACTAACTTGATCGTCGGAGGCGAATATTTCGTCAAACGGAATATTCGTTGTTTTGCAGGTGTCTTCGGTTGTCCGGCTAAATTCAAAACCTGTATTTCGGGGGATTCCAAAAAACCCCAAAACATTTGGCGCCATCTATGGGGATACACGTCTGAAATGACTAAAGATGGTCAGACACCCGGTCCTGGTCAGGACGGCCATGTAGAGAATATTGACGTCAACATCAACAGTAATGATCCTCTAATCGTCACATTCCATGAGGTCGAGGATCCTCCTATAACGGCCGGCTCTTTGCAAGCTGCTTTGGCCAAGCTCCGAAAGGAGTTTGAGGGCAGGTTACCCTCTTTTTCTTGGCAGCCGCCCAGGAAGGAAGGAGAGGGCACCAAAAAGAAGCCCTATGCCAAGGCGACCAATATTGAGGATGCGGGAGTCACCCGTTAAGGAGGCTGTCGAGGTCCCCTAGGGTCCCTCGAACGAACAGGTTGAGGCTTCTTGAGAGAACAAAGTCGGCTGGGGGGCAGACCAAGCAGCCTATAAGGTCGCCAAGCGAGTCGTCCCAACGCTGGAAGGATGTTAGAGACTATCTTCGGCATAAGCGACAAGAGCGAGCACAGTCCTACTACTCGGACACTGCTTCCACTCCTACTAGCCGGATTAAATGTCAAACCATACCCTCTCTCAGCATACCAGCTCAGCCAAGACTAGTAGAAGTCAGGATCATCGTACTCCAACTCTAGTTCCTTTATCCTAACCAGCTTAGTTTCAAATGCCCCACAACTATGGTACAATTTTGTCGCCTACTCTCCCTATATATGGGCAGCATGGGCAATATGGCTTGCCGTACGACCAGACGGCTTATCTGGCCGGACCGGCCGCCCAACCTCAGCCTATCAATTGCCAAATGCGCTTGTTGACTCTTGGTGACAAGCAGCCTCCGTTTTCTCAAGAAATTCTCAACTCTCCTTACCGCCGAAAGGTAAAGAGTGTACTTGTGGGTGCCTATGACGGTACGGGCAACCCAGAAGAGCATATATCCTCGTACAGAAATTTTGATGTACATGCAAAATGTGGATGATGCCACTTGGTGAAAATGCTTCCCAGCCACTCTCAAGGGTGTGGCTCAAGATTGGTTCAATAGCCTACCGGCCAGATGCATCAATTGTTTTACAACTCTCAGCTTGTTGTTTGTTGGAAACTTCTCCTACAATATATTACCCCGGAAGACTAGTCTTAACTTGACGACCATCGTCCAACGGAAGGAGGGGTTGCGTTCGTACGTCCAAAGATTTAACATGGAGAAAGCACAGATTCAGAATCCGCCGGATGAAATGGCCTACTCGGAGTTTCTTCGAGGCTTAAGGTACAATGGTTTCAAGTTCGACTTGATCAGGAAAAAAATTCGGACATACATAGGTGTTCTGTGGGAGGCCGAATCATACATAGAGGTAGCTGATTTCTATTCGCCTACAAAAGCGGAAGAGCCGGCGAAGGGCGCCGAGAAGAATCCACCTTCTCAGCAAGACTCGGCCGACAAGAAGAAAGAAGGAAGTACCAAAAGAAAGGAAGTCTGGATGGCCGACGACCAATAGACTAAGTCCAAGAAGGCCAAAACGTATGAACCACATTACGAATACAACAAAGTCTGTTATTCAATCTTGATGGAAATCAAGGAAAAGTTTGAGTTTGAGAAGCCCCAGCCTTTGAGGGGGCCGAACCAGTACAGAAACAAAAACAAGTATTGCCATTACCACAAGGATATAGGGCATGACACGAATGAATGCAATAACCTGAAAAGGTTGTTAGATAAGCTGGCCGAGAAGGTCATGCTCAACTATTCTGAAGTCAAAGTTCACCTATTCTAGGACGAACAACAAGTTTGAGAAAAAGAAGGAAAAGAAAAAAGATGAAGATGGGAACAAAGGAAACTCAGGGTTTGTGGCCGTCATTTTAGGTGGCTTTGCTACAGGCGGCTCAACCATGAAGGGAATTAAGTAGGATATCTGGCAAGCCAGAAAGGTCATGTATACGGAGGATGTTAAGTTGCAGCCGTTCTCAAAGGTGACTGTTTGCGAGGCAGGCCGAGGCAAAATTAGAACTCCCCATGATATCCAATGGTATTCATATTGAAGGTGACCAATTTAAAGGTTGGACAAGTGCTAATAGACACAGACAGATCGTCCGACATAATCAGCTTAGCTTGTCTGAAAAATTTGAAGTTTCCAGAAGATGTGCTGAAGGATATCTCCCATCCGTTGGTTGGGTTTGGTGGCAGCATTATCCACCCAATAGGCCGGATAGATTTTCTAGTCCAGTTTAGGCCAAAGAGAGAAGGAAGGGACATGGTCATTCGCTTCTTAGTTGTCAAAGAGCTTATAGGGTACAATGTCATCATTAGCCGTCCAACCTTGAACTCAACAAAGGCTATAATTGTCCCTCATTTATTGCTGATGAAGTTCAAGCCGTCGAATGGGAAAATAGGCTCCATTCAAGGAGACCAGGTGATATCAAAGGATTGTAATCAGCTGGCCGTGAAGCCAACTTCACTTGGACACAAACGGGCGTCCGAGCAAAACTCTGAAGAAGGGTCACTCCAAGCATAACAGGTCGGCAAGAAGCGAAAGTCAGCCTAGATAGAGCAGGCATAGCAATTAATGACCGTCGAACGACCACAAGAGCTAAGGCCTTAGCCGGCCGACAATCATATGGACATAGTACTGGACCCAAACCAGCCTGATCGGACGGTCAAGGTTGGCGCTATGGCCATGAACATGCTTGGAGATGACTTAATAAATTTTTTGAAAGAATTCAAAGATGTGTTTGCGTTCGAGGTTCATGAGATGCCGGGTATTAGCCCAGACTTGGTCGTGCATAAGTTGGTAGTGAATCTAGCCGTGTAGCCTGTCTGGAAGAAAAAGAGAAATAATGGTGAAGAAAGGAATCGGGGAGCCGTGGATGAATTATAGAAGTTGTTGGACGCAGGTTTTATTCGACAATGTTATTATCCTGACTAGGTGGCCAACGTGGTCTTGGTCAAGAAGTCGAATGGAACTTGGCGAATGTGTGTGGATTACACTAATCTCAACAAGGCATGTCCTAAGGATAGCTTCCCTTTGCCAAAAATCGACCGACTGGTCGATTCAGCGGTCGGGCATTCGCTAATGAGCTTTATGGACACATACTCCGGTTTCCATCAAATCCTCTTGTGGGAAGAAGATCAAGAGAAAACAACATTTGTGAGCGAGCAGGGGTTATACTGTTACAAAGTAATGTCATTCGACCTAAAAAATGCCCCTGCCACGTTTTATAGACTTGTGAATACGGTCTTCAGAGATCACATCGGCTAGAACATGGAGGCTTATATTAAGGATATGATTGTTAAATCAAAGAAGCCGACCGATCATTTAAGGGACCTCCGAGAAACATTTATCGAACTCAGGCGGCATAAGATGATGTTAAACCCAAAGAAGTGTGTCTTTGGTGTTGAGTTTGGAAATTTCTCGGATTTCTTATTGATCAGAGCGACATTGAGGCCAACCCTAAGAAGATCCAAGCAGTCTTAGACAAGAAATCGCCGAGAAACATAAAAGAAGTTCAAAGGTTGACCGACTGTTTAGTCGCCCTCGGATAATTTCTATTAAGATCAGGGGATAAGTGCCGCTATTTTTTTCCAAACAATCAAGAAAAAAGAAATGTTCGAGTGGACTATCCAGGCCGAAGAGGCCTTTATTCAGTTGAAAAATCATTTGCATACTTTCCCTCGGCTAGTCAGTCCGATGAAAGATGAGAAGCTATACATCTATCTTGCAATTTCTTACCACTCCTTAAGTGTCGTCCTACTTGCTAAAAAGGGACGGCCACCAGATCCCCGTGTATTTTATCAGTCATGTGTTGCACAATGCCAAGCTTATGTATCCACCCATTGAGAAGTTCGGCTTGGCACTGTTAATGGCATCAAAGAAGTTAAGGCCATACTTTCTTGCTCATTCAATTGTGGTCTACATGGACCAACAGTTGAAGAAGTCATTCACGACATTGGAGGCCAGCGGCCGAATGCTTAAATGGGCCTTAGAATTGAGAGAATTTGATATTAAATTCGAACCTTAAAAAGCAATCAAGGGTCAAGCCTTTGCAGATTTTTTAACTGAGATGACACGGCCGAATTAATAGCCGGCAGAGGATCAGATTTAGAAAGTTTTTGTGGACGGAAGTGCAACTATGACCGGCTGTGGGGCTAGTATAATCTGTCTATCTTCGGAAGGAGATAAGTTTGAGTACACCTTGAGATTTCAGTTTCAATCCTCCAACAACGAGGCCGAGTATGAAGCCCTTCTGGTCGGCCTTAGAATGTGTAAGGCGGTTGGAGTAACAAAAATTAACTCTTTTTCGGACTCCCAGCTGATAGTCAGCCAAGTGAATGGTGATTACGAGGCAAGGGACACTAGTAGGAAAAAGTTAATGGGAAGCCCCAAATGGGGAGCGGTTCTTAAAATCCGCTTCAAAATCCCTACAAAAACCCACCCAAAAAAAAACATCAGAACTCAAATGGCAAGCGGTTTGGGTTGAACCGCTCACAAAAATGTAATGGGAAGCGATTCAAACCGCTGCCCTTTCTAAAAAAAAGCGGGATCCAAATAAAATATGAAACCCTTCCCCGCTTCATCTCTTTCAGAGTTTCACTCCTCCTTCATTTCGCGTTCCCCTTTCACTCTTAAACACCGACACTCCACCACCACCACCATTGCTACTGCTGTTGCTGCTTCACTTAACCCCCACCACCACC